GAAAATCTTAAAATGCGGATAAATGAATTTCTGTGATTTCCTTTGCTGTGGGAACAGCTTGAATAAATAAAGAATTAGTATTCTACCAGAAATAGTGAATCATTATTACAGAACATGCCCTGCACATCTGGACGCTCTGTGAAGTGGTGCTGTAATATAAATGCGTATGTATAAGACCATATGGGTGAATTAGGTCAGTCAATTATAGGCTATTATTGAGCATACATAGCTTACCACATCTTTATAATGTTTAGGTATGTGAAAATAAAAACCCTGGTGAAAAAAGTTAATGTTAAGGGTTACATGTTGGTCTTTCTCTGATATTGTGCATGAATATTATATTGAATAGCATATTATTATATCATGTCATTGTATTGTAAAGAAACAATGTTTTTTTTGCTGTCTCTGAAACAGTGAATCTTGGCTTGATTGGTTGTTCCGAATCGAAGTTTGTTAACACAAACATGCCCCTGGAGGTCTCTTTTCACATTGTACATTTGCATCAACATGAGTACAAGCTTAGAGGTAGCTGTTTTCCACTGTAGCTAGGCATTGATTCAAGAGGTGAAGACAGTTTTATTGCAATATTTGTCCTTCTAGATTTACCACCAAATATTTACACACAGAGAACAAGACTTGAGTCATGCGAATAATGAAAGTAGCTTTCCGAAAGAAAAGACAGGGAGCTATAATAAATGCAATGTACGAAAATAGCAAGACTATGTTTTTGCATTTTCCGCATTAATTACTCATAATATGTGGTCTGATCTTACAATTGAAGAGTTCAGATGCAAAAGCCTCTAAGTGCCATTTGAAATTTTCTTCTAAAATGATCATTTTTATCAAGCTTATATATTTAAGTTCAGTAATTTCACTTAAATGACAATGAAGATTACTTATGAATTGCCATTTAAGTGAAATTACTGAACTTAAAGACAAGCTTGATAAAAATTATCATTCTAGAAGAAAATTTCAAATGGCACTTAGAGGCTTTTGCATCTGAACTCTTCAATTGTAAAAAACACAATCTGACATAACTAATAACATTAACATTGTACTTTAGTACATAACACTGTAAGTAATCATTCACATTGCACTGTGGAGAAAGTAAGTAAATCATTGAACCCTCCACCAAACATTTACATTATCTGAAGATGCTCATAATAGTTTTATTCAATTTTGGACAATCCCGCCCCAGAAATTTGTTTCAGTTTATCAGTATTTATGGGTTTACTTTAGGTTATGCCACAGCATCTCAGTTGGCGTTAGGTCCTTGTCTTTTTGTATCACCAAACCTCATGATTTTGGAGAAGTCATAGAGATTCAGCCTGCCTTGTCAATGAAGAAAACTCTGAATTTAAAGATAAGACCACATTTTATTGGTCATCAGCAGAGGTGGGAGTAAGTCACTAAATGCAAGTCTTAAGTCAAGTCCAAGTCTTAACATTGCAAGTTAAAGTCGAGTCAAGTCATTCTGTTGTAAGGGTCAAGTCAAGTCAAGTCATACTCTTTGTCAAGTCAAGTCAAGTCAAGTCGCAACTTGGTCATCAAGTCATACCAAGTCGCACACAGGCTAGTTTTACACATTTTTTTACTCTAGGAGTTTACTTTATTTAGACACAGAGAGCTGATGGGTTACAAAAATTTATAAATTAACTTGTGTGTAATAAATAAAATATCAGAAGCACTTTAAATGCTCTAAAATAAAAATAAATTAAATGAACACAAGTAAACAAGAATTAATACAACTTTTCCCATCTTGTAAAAAAAAAAAAAGATTTGCATTCTAAATTAGTACTGTATGCCAAAGTTTGTATGTTCTCACTCTAAATATCCAGCTGATTTGATCCCATCACACAAAATATTATATGGAAATTAAGAAAACAAATCTAATCATTAGTGTTGTCACAATACCAAAATTATTGTTTCGATACCGATACCAAGTCAAGAATCGCAATTTCGATACTTTTCCTATACTTTTCCTGAAAAGGAAAGTATTTCTTACAAGGCATTTCACATGCACCTCCTTTGTGTAGGGCTGTGCTCTTTAAATGCTGTAATAACCTAATATAAATAAATCACTGACAAACATTCTCATGCTCTGATTATAATCATATAGTCTATGGTTCATTTTAGCTGATGTTTTGTATGCTTTATTTTAGCAGCTTGCAAATTATTTATGCTATCCATGAAAGTTGGGGGTGAAAGTTGTACAGCTAAATAAAACATCTCCAGTTAAATAGCAGATAATTAATTTATTTCGCTTTTAAATAAGAGATCTAGGGCTAAATTCTGTTGTTTTTTAAATCAAGTGGAGCGCTCTTTTTCGCTGCTATCAGTTACATGGTCTTTTGCGGCTCACGCACCGTCTTCATACGGACGCATGCTTCATTCTATCACAGTTGTAGTGTACTGGGAGCCGGATGGTGTTGCTATAAGAACTTGCAAAGTATAACTATCAGACCAATCCTCGCGGCCTCGTAACACTACCGGCCCACCGGGGAAAGTCCTGAATCTCCGGCTTGCCACTCCACTACTGACCGGCGGCCACAGTATCATCATTTCAATTATTTTTTAAAACGTGGGTCGTTGTGACTGACGTTCTCAACTTTCTCCCGCCCGCAGCATTGATGTTTCGTCCCGCTCCTGCCCGCAAAAAGCCTTTTTTCTGTACAATACTTTCAAGTTAGCTTATGTGTCGCCACCATACACAACAGCATAATTGCTCCTGATAAATTATTTGTTATTAAGACATTAACACACGAAACATTGTTACAACATTAAAACAAGCAGCTCTTGCTTGCATGGTTTGGTGACTGTGCCTTAATAATTCCTAAAAAGCTGACAGTTCATCGCAATCTCACACATCTGTCATTATCAAAGAAGCTTTCATAATTGATAGGCCTACACTTTGTTTGTTAAAATTAGATGATTTGACAACATACAGAATTAAGCACTGAACAAAAGGTTCTATCTGAGCGGTGAGGGAAATCTATCGTAAATGCTTGTGATTGGCCATTGCGTTCAAGAAAACAACAAACGTGTCTGTGATTGGCTACACCGCTCAACGCTTTATTCTCCCTCCCTTCGATATCTCAGCTCTGGAAGGGTCTAGAGCCTCCATTTTTCCACTCAGGTTTAAGTCTCATGGCCCTCTATCAGAATCCAGAGTTTTGAGAAGATTGGAGAAAGTTAATTTTTCGCCCAAAAAAAAAAAACGAAAGGGGTACCACTGTCGTTTTTTTTTTTTCGGGTCGAATTTTTGAGTTTCGATATCTCAGCTCTGGAAGGGTCTAGAGCCTCCATTTTTGCACTCAGGTTTAAGTCTCATGGCCCTCTATCAGAATCCAGAGTTTTGAGAAGATTGGAGAAACTTAATTTTTCGCCCGAAAAAAAAAAAAACGAAAGGGGTACCACTGTGTTTGTTTTTTTTTTCGGGTCAAATTTTTGAGTTTCGATATCTCAGCTCTGGGAGGGTCTAGAGCCTCCATTTTTGCACTCAGGTTTAAGTCTCATGGCCCTCTATCAGAATCCAGAGTTTTGAGAAGATTGGAGAAAGTAAATTTTTCGCCCGGAAAAAAAAAAAACGAAAGGGGTACCAATGTTGTTTTTTTTTTTTTCGGGTCGAATTTTTGAGTTTCGATATCTCAGCTCTGGAAGGGTCTAGAGCCTCCATTTTTGCACTCAGGTTTAAGTCTCATGGCCCTCTATCAGAATCCAGAGTTTTAAGAAGATTGGACAAACTTAATTTTTCGCCCGAAAAAAAAAACAAAAACGAAAGGGGTACCACTGTCATTTTTTTTTTCCGGGTCGAATTTTTGAGTTTCGATATCTCAGCTCTGGAAGGGTCTAGAGCCTCCATTTTTGCACTCAGGTTTAAGTCTCATGGCCCTCTATCAGAATCCAGAGTTTTGAGAAGATTGGAGAAACTTAATTTTTCGCCCGAAAAAAAAAAACAACGAAAGGGGTACCACTGTCATTTTTTTTTTCCGGGTCGAATTTTTGAGTTTCGATATCTCAGCTCTGGAAGGGTCTAGAGCCTCAATTTTTCCACTCAGGTTTAAGTCTCATGGCCCTCTATCAGAATCCAGAGTTTTGAGAAGATTGGAGAAACTTAATTTTTCGCCCGAAAAAAAAAAAAACGAAAGGGGTACCACTGTGTTTTTTTTTTTTCTGGTCAAATTTTTGAGTTTCGATATCTCAGCTCTGGAAGGGTCTAGAGCCTCCATTTTTGCACTCAGGTTTAAGTCTCATGGCCCTCTATCAGAATCCAGAGTTTTGAGAAGATTGGAGAAAGTACATTTTTCGCCCGGAAAAAAACAAAACGAAAGGGGTACCACTGTCGTTTTTTTTTTTCGGGTCGAATTTTTGAGTTTCGATATCTCAGCTCTGGAAGGGTCTAGAGCCTCCATTTTTGCACTCAGGTTTAAGTCTCATGGCCCTTTATCAGAATCCAGAGTTTTGAGAAGATTGGAGAAAGTAAATTTTTCGCCCGAAAAAAAAAAACGAAAGGGGTACCACAGTCGTTTTTTTTTTCGGGTCGAATTTTTGAGTTTCGATATCTCAACTCTGGAAGGGTCTAGAACCTCCATTTTTGCACTCAGGTTTAAGTCTCATGGGCCTCTATCAGAATCCAGAGTTTTGAGAAGATTGGAGAAACGTAAATTTTCGCCCGAAAAAAAAAAACGAAAGGGGTACCAGTGTCGTTTTTTTTTTTCGGGTCGAATTTTTGAGTTTCGATATCTCAGCTCTGGAAGGGTCTAGAGCCTCCATTTTTGCACTCAGGTTTAAGTCTCATGGCCCTCTATCAGAATCCAGAGTCTTGAGAAGATTGGAGAAAGTACATTTTTCGCCCGGAAAAAAAAAAAACAAACTTATTCTTGCCCCTGTACATTCTTGTACATGTTTGACCCAGAGTATGCAAACATGCAAATTATATGCCAATAGCAGTTCGTAAAGCACACTAAAATATCTCATTGTACTTCTATGTGTCCTAACAGTGGAAAATGACAGGGAGCTGTCTCCACAGAGACGACACCATAAAGAGTTCAAATTCAACCTGTCCCAGATCCCAGACGGAGAGGCCATCACAGCTGCAGAATTCAGGATCTACAAGGAGTGTGTCACCAGGGCCTTTCGCAATGAGACATTCCTACTTAGTGTGTTTCAGGTGGTTGGGGAACACCCAGACAGGTAAAGAAGTTACATCTCAAAATGCTATTCTATAAAATTCCATATTCTTCATTTGTTGTCCAGTTCAGTATAGTTAAAGAACTTATAAAATCATGACATCATAGTAATAATGGTCTCTTTCAAAAGCACACATAGAAAACTAAGTTCACTTTAGCTCTTCTAATGCCATTAAAACTCAGCAATGCCTCTTTTTAAAAAAAATAAATAAATAGTCCACCAGTATATAGTTGTGACACGTATTGTATTGTGGAACCTTGATTTTGAACTGAATGTACATATGATCAAATTAAAGTATTAAACTGCTATTTTGAAAATAATGTATTTGTTGTATGGTTTTCAAGCTGAGTAATTGACTGTATTTTAAATCAAGCCCTGGCATCCCTCACTGAACACAGTAGAGGTTGTCTACCATGTACTTTATGTAGACTACGGCCATGACCACAACGCACTACTGAAATAGCTTTAGTTTGGCGTCTAAAAAAGAACCCACCAACACACGTCAAACATTGACTTTGTGGGTGGTGGGAGGGATATCTCCTTGAGAAAGGCAGATGGCGTGACCGGTAAAGTGTTCAAAACACACCAATGAGGTGTGACTATGAGACTACCCATCAATCTTATTTATTTTTTATTCAAAAAAGGCACCAAACAAGAAGCAAAGGCCAAAATCTCTGGCTAAATGAACCACATGTTTCTCTCCCAAATAGTTTACTAATGTTTATCACGAAGTGTTCATTTGGTGTACATCCTGAGTTGAACAATGGGTGCACTGTTTTTCCACAAACCTGCAGTAGGATTCTTTATTTTTAGTCATATCTTGAGATTGTGTATCGCCACTCATTGTATCACTGCACAACAAGGTTTACCTTGATGCAAATTATAGCGTGCTTTGCGGTATTTCCCTACATGCCAATTTCTGCCTGTAAATCCCAAATACTGTGTGGCTTGCAAAATGTATTTGCTTACAAACAGATTAATTTGCAAACTTGTCAAGTTCTAACAGCATAATTACTGTGTTTATGGTTTGTGATCTTTAAAAAAACACATTGGTTGGGGAAATGCGGTATGGCTGAGCTAAGAGATGCACAATATGGCTGAGAGAAACTTCTGAAGTGTGTAAGCCTTTAATCCAATGTGCAAAAAATAACTTGGTTATGGAGGTGGTGCAGAGGGGATGTATATCTGGCTGAATTTAGCCCATGTGGCAAGACGATTTGACCTGAAACAGAAGTGTAGTTAACCTCGAGTCAACAAGCTTCACAAAGTCTTAAATGTAAAGGAACAATGGCTTGTAAGAGCATATTTCAATTGATTCTCAACAATGCACACATTAGTTGTTTATCTAGACCATATTTAATATGTTAAAGGGGTTTCATTTTTTCACCATTAGAAAAAAGGTATTAAAGGTAAAGGTATCTTCCATTATTCTTGCATAATGTTGTAGTCTATCTACAACTATTTTAATTGTAGGAAACATTATACTTCAGTATATGGCATGTTTAATGTAGTAATTGGGTCTAGATTGGAAACAAAAACTTTTATGCCAAGTTCATACTGCACGATTTTCAAACCAGTCGGGTCGCTGTTCTTTTCACACTGCATGACTACCTTGGCCAGCATTCAGTCGCTGCGACAAAAGGTTTCACACTGCATGACTTTACAATAGGAAAAATCGCCGACAACTCTGTCTAGCATGCTGCGCGCAAACTACGTTTCACAAAAAACACACGTGAGATGTGACAAGGAAACAACCCGACACCACACGTGCAAGACCAGAGTTCTCATGTGAGAGTTTTTTTCTTTTTCGACCCAGTTGTGGTACAGCTCAGATGAAACGTCAAACAGACACGGGTGCTCCTGCTAAATTTCTACAAATTTTTCCTCCATTTTTTGTGTCCAAAAATAGACAGAGAAGAAGCCTTTTTTTCTGAAACAATGCCATGCATGTTGATATGTGATCTATAACTCCTCCCCGGACTCCCCGCTGCTCTGTATCTTGCTCTCTCATTGGCTGTCGGTAATCGCCGATGTAGTTTTCAGTCACAACACGTTTCACACAGCAGGATTTTGAATCGCTGACAGGTCCAGATATTTAGCATGCCAAATATCTCACGGGCATTGGCAACTCGTCAGCTATTCTCTCAGATCGCGTCTTTGCTCATTTACACTGCATGATTGTCACTTGCGTGAATGAGCGCCGATTTGCATGTGATTTCGGGCATTTGTCGGCGATTTCTCAAAACCTGTCGGAAAAGTGACAAAAACCTGTTTAGCCAAAATCATGGCTAAAATCATGCAGTCTGAACTCGGCATTACACTCACCTAAAGGATTATTAGGAACACCTGTTCAATTTCTCATTAATGCAATTATCTAATCAACCAATCAAATGGCAGTTGCTTCAATGCATTTAGGGGTGTGGTCCTGGTCAAGACAATCTCCTGAACTCCAAACTGAATGTCAGAATGGGAAAGTAAGGTGATTTAAGCAATTTTGAGCGTGGCATGGCTGTTAGTGCCAGACACGCCGGTCTGAGAATTTCACAATCTGCTCAGTTACTGAGATTTTCACGCACAACCATTTCTAGGGTTTACAAAGAATTGTGTGAAAAGGGAAAACATCCAGTATGCGGCAGTCCTGTGGGGGCGAAAATGCCTTGTTGATGCTAGAGGTCAGAGGAGAATGGGCCGACTGATTTAACCTGTATGGGTATGTTTTCTTGGCACACTTTAGGCCCCTTAGTGCCAATGGGCTCTATGCACGGCGGTATTTCCAGTGAAGCATTAGGGATGCTCGATAACTTCCGCCGATCATAGAGTCCAATGCAATAGCGAGAATTTATATTGAATTTTATACTCCATGGTTATACTAATGAAACGTTAGTCACAAAAACAGATAAAACAGACACCCCTTGTTGTGTTTATGCTTCTTTTTAAAATTATATCAAATAAACATAACTGTATATAAAATTACATCTAAACGTATGTACGTTTCGTTTCAAAGACGGGAGGACAGTAAATATTGAAGACTCTGCCATAATCCCGTTTTCTCCGGTTTTCCTCCGCTTTAATCTACACAACTGGAAATAGACGAGCATCCTTGCGTCAAATGCGGAACTTATGCGTGCATATAGCCCATTGGACATTGTTTATATGACACAACCGACCTCAGCATTGTTTCTGACCATGTCCATCCCTTTATGGCCACCATACCCATCCTCTGATGGCTACTTCCAACATGATACTGCACCATGTCACAAAGCTCGAATCATTTCAAATTGGTTTCTTGAACATGAAAATTAGTTCACTGAACTAAAGTGGCCCCCACTGTCTTTGGGATGTGGTGGAACAGGAGCTTTGTGCCCTGGATGTGCATCCCGCAAATCTCAATCAACTGCAAGATGCTATCCTATCAGTGGGCCAACATTTCTAAAGAATGCTTTCAGCACTTTGTTGAATCAGTGCCACGTAGAATTAAGGCAGGTCTGAAGGCGAAAGGGGTTCAAACACAGTATAAGTATGGTGTTCCTTATAATCCTTTAGGTGAGTGTATTTCATTGTTTGTGTCAAAAAGGTATCTTCTAGCAGTCAGGTAATAAATAAAAAGTCGTTCTCGGGATTTACTTACTGCATTGTTGGAAACTGTATTCTTTATTATGTTCTCTGTTTTATACTGGATACTTTGGCAAATTTAGTCGGTCATCATAGGTATACTTTGCATAGCCTACATAAATCAGCCTCTTATTTTTTTTTTTATTATTACAACTAATTTGTCGTCCCTCATTTCAAATGAAACAAAACAAAAAAATACAATTGAATGTAACTAAATGCTGTTTAATTAAAAAAAAATAATAATAATGTTCAGATTGTGTTGGCTGTAAATAAAGTGTTCACAGTACCAGAGTGAATGTGTTGTAGACAAGTTTAGTTCACTTACTCTTTTCATTTTGTAATTTCACTTGACTGTGATCAACTTTTGCCTTGATTTTGATTCACAGTCTTCACAGTTTGATTCACAGTAATCACATTACTGCATTTCTGAGAAAAGGGACAGATGTCAATTTCCTTTAAAATAACTTTATAAGCAAATTTTATTAAAAACCATGGTGTCAATGTAAATCTTCAAAAAAGTGCAATAATGCACCTTTAATATTGTGAAGGTATATAATTGTCAAATAATGAATGAATAAACATTTGTTGTATTAAAAAAAACTTGGAGGTTGTATTAGATCTTAGACATTTACATGTATGCATTTTGGCTAGCTCTTTATCCAAAGCAAATTGTAGTGAATATACATTTTATCAGTGAATGCATTCCTATGTCTGTTTTGGATAAATCTGAGATGCATTTTAAAACACTGCCAGTTGTATTTATTTTGAATTCAGGTTCTGCTTTCATGACGATCCATCAATACCTCATGAAAAATGACTCGACTGTAGAGTTATTACTTTTCTGTTTGTATATATTCTAATCCCTGGTTGTTTTCATGTACATCTGGCCTCCTTGGAAAACCCTCCAAAACCATATGTGAAGACGGTCCTGTATGCATGCTATGGCAGCGTGAACCTATTAAAATATAGGCCTATTTTTTAACGGCAGCCAATGACAGAGGCAATAAATGCGATTTATGAAACAAAAAAAAAAACCTAACACTTCTGACTTTATTATTCCAGTTAATTTAATGTGTCTATAAGAGGCTTTACAGTGGGGTTTTTAGAGTCGGCAGCTCCCCTGCGGTCCCGTTCGGACCCGTCCCAGGTGAAACTGTGTGACTGGTGGCACTTAACAGTGTGAGTCAGCTTAAGCATGATGTGTTCATGTCGAATGTGACGTGTGAACCACCAGAGGGAAGAACCTCATATGGAGCTCCTTAGAGTGCGGCTCTAATTAATGAGCAATAAAGAGGGGCTACAGGGACATTCCCAGAACACCTGTGTGACCGACAGCTTTGAAGTGACCCGGCCAATGCTTATTACCATGCATAGTGTGTAATTATTATAATGGGACAGGCCTCCCTGGAAGGCTACTATACCTCTGTTCTCAACTCTGTGACTTGAAGCTCCACTGAATTTGACAAACTGTTATTTTTATGTTTACTATTATGTTTACTACAATAGTTTACTATTGAATACATGCCTTAAATTGATCATTTTAATTTCAGTTTTAGTTAGGTCATCAAGTTGAACTAAATTAAAATTAGAAATGTTACCATGGCAACTAGCTGAAGTTTTTATATATATATTTCATTTTATTTCATTTCAGTTAACGTTTATTTTGTATCAAGCAACATGAATGTTTTTTTTTTTTATGGTTTTAGTTTTAATTTAAGTTAATTACAATAACCCTGATGGGAACAACCTAATTTTATTTAAATGGGAAATATTAAAGTTATATATCTAAAGAATGCTGTATTTACTTTAAAAGTTACCATTTAATACTTATTATTTCTACCATTTATTTCTACCATTCTACATATTATTATTATTATTATTAATGTTTATTCCATATACTTTTACACTATTATTTGTAATAAAGGATATTGACGTATAGGCCTAGTGTTTATAACATTTAATGATCTCAAGACTTTCTCATTTGCAGGGATGCTGATCTGTTTCTGCTGGAATCTCGCAAGCTGTGGCCGGCTGAAGAAGGTTGGCTGGAGTTTGACTTTACAGCAACTAGCAATCTCTGGGTGATGAGCCCACAACATAACTTGGGTCTACAGATCAATGTAGAGACCAGCAGTGGTAAGATAAGTAAAACATCGGTTCAACCAGTGTGTGTGTGTGTGTGTGTGTGTGTGTGTGTCTTTCAGATCCAAATAAAAGAATTCACATGTCTGTGTGTGAGTCAGGTGATTGGCAGTAAACTGGGTCTAATTGTGTCTATGACCCCTTTTCCACCAAAAAAAAAAAACTGGTTTGGAACTGGTGCTGGTTCAAAGTTGGTTTGGAGTTGGTTCAACTTGCGAACCTTTTCAGAACCTGTTTGTTTTTCCACTGACTAGAGCGCCCAGGGAACAACGTCGTTACGTCACTGTGTATGTCTTAGCTAGAAACGCTTGCAAATACAACATTACCTTGGGATTAACTTGTGTACCAAGAAGGCTTTAAAAACAATTGAAATATGTAAGTCTTTTAATCTTTTCTTTTGATATGTTATCTTTTCTAATTAGTTAAGTACCCCTGTCTTGTGTCTTTTTTTCCCTTTCCATTTATTTTTTCTATATTGTGACTGCTTATCGATAATGATAATGTTTTCAATAAAAAAAAAAAATGTAAAAAAAAAAATAGAAACTCTTGCGCCAACTTCAAGGATAACAATTACAAAGGCGGACTCCATCGTGTTTCTGCAAATGTTTCTACTGGCTTCGCGATCCTATATTATGAACCCGCCCCCAGCCCCCGACGTAAGCATGACATGGTGAAAGAACGGTTCTAGTCCAGCAAAGAGTTGGTGCCGCTTTGGAACCAGTCTTCCTGGCCGAGAACCGTTTCTTTGGCTGTCGAAACAAAGAACTGGTTCGCGTGCAGGCACCGGCTCCGAACCGGCTCTCAAAATGCTTTGGTGGAAAAGGGGTATATGAGCCACCATGAGCAAAGATGGCGTGCCAAATAGATTATTTCTAGGGAGTCCATTGCCAGTGAGGTGACTGGGAATGTTAACAGATGTTTTTTGGTTGGGTATTATATAGTCCTCATTGGCTGGTTCAACCTATTCATTTTAATTTCCTTTGGTAACTTTGAGTTTAGTTCTGTTCAGTTTGATTTGCGAGTCAACCAGTTCAAAGAAGATATTTAGAAGACACCATCTTTGGAACTATGAGTCCTGATGTGACCGCAAACAAACAGCACTTATCAAAGAGAAGCCCTACTTATTGATATCTTTGCATCTAAAACTGGACAAAGATACCTATAGTACTCTACTTTTCTTTTCTTTTCTTTTTTTTATAGGATGGAGCATCAGTCCCAAGGAAGCAGGGTTAGTGGGTCGGGATGGTGCTCTGGAAAGGCAGCCTTTCATGGTGGCCTTTTTCAAAGTAACCGAAGTCCGTATTCGCTCTGCCCGGTCAACGGGCAGACGTCGTCAACAGAACCGCAATCGCTCCAACAGTCCTCAAGAGGCGACAAAGAGCACCGCTCATACAGGTTAGCCATTTATATTTCCAGTATTGTGAAATAAGACTCTTCCTATATATATGTTTTTTGTTTCTAAACAACACAAGTTTAATATGCACTTAATCCACTCCAGTCTGTTATAATATTTCAGGAGATGTTGACCTGGATAGTCTGAATCTGATAAGTTTTATTGAGTCCAGATATACCCTTTTAAAATGAAAATCTGGACTCAATAAATGTCTTTAAGATCCTCTTGAGAATTCATTTAAGAAGCAGCACATATGTAGGCCTGACATCCTTTGTCCTGATTCAAAGTCCTTTGCCGGGTCCTCACCAATGTAAACCTGTAAGAGATAAATAGAGAAAAAAAAAAATATTTTTTTAATATACAGGACCTAAGCTTTTAGGCACAAATTATTGAAATTAATTACGTGAACACAAACTAGAAAAATACATTTGTTGATGGTTTTTATTTTATCTTAAATCGATTTAGCGGATATAAAGCGGCAAGATTTTGCACCAATCAAATTTCTTCCTGCACTTTGCTATGAGGTCAATACAAAGCAGTACCTGATGGCAAAAATTTATTTCAATGAAATTTAACACATGCCAAGTGCCAAATGCGAGTAAATGTTCTATTGGCTGGACGGGTGATAATTTAATTGTTGATTAGTTAAATGAAAACCATGTTTGTATTACAACAGAGAAATAGGCATAATAGTTTAGACTAAAAAAATGCATTTTCTTGTGTCATAAAGTGTATCCAAGATATCATTTTTATATGTAGTGTAACTGTAATGGGACTTCAGTGAAGAGTAGAGCCTACATTTACCAGAAAAAATAAACAGTTACTGTTTTTAAGTTAATGTATGTGTTCCTAGACAAAAGGTGACGTTAAAATATAGATCAATCAATCAATCAATGCCAAATTTTATTTTTATTATTTCCACAGCCCATATTCAACCCCAGACAACAATTATTTTATCGACAGGCAGTTTGCACAGAAATGTAAGATTTTTCCCATCCTCACCGACCTCAGCATAAAACCCGTTTAAATGATCATACGATGCCTCATCCTCCTCGCTCGCTGCTTAGTCGACGGCGGCCATGGTGTGACACTGGTGGCTAGTGTTGCCAGATTGTTTGTTTTTTTGCTACAAATTAAAGGGATAGTTCACTTTGAAATTAATTTTTGATATGTTTTAGCTTACCTCAAGGGCATCCAAGATGTAGGTGTCTTTGTTTCCACAGTATTTTCAATTTTGATATTTTTCGGTCAAATCGTTGTCGTCTATCAGTCATACACTGGAGGCTAAGGGGGTCCTCCCTGGGTTCACCTCAATAAGCATGCACAGAGAAGTCAAAATTAAACATGATTGAATGACTCGTAAATGTAAGTACATATTGATGACCTAAGACACGAAACGAGCGGTTTGTGTGAGAAAACGAACAGTATTTATATCGTTTTTACCTCGTGTAGCACAGCCATGTCCAACTGGCGCTTCTGTCTGCGCATGCGCCGGAAGTGATCGGTTGCGTGTCTACGTCACTCATTGTTTACGCAGAGATTTCGGAAGTTTTACCTTTCACTAAATATATTTAGATATCGAAATCGTCTTCCATTGCGATTTTCTGTATATCTTTAGTGAGAGGTAAAACTTCCGAAATCTCTGTGTAAACAATGAGTTTGCCCGAAAAATATAAAAATTGAAAATACTGTGGAAACAAAGACACCTACATCTTGGATGCCCTTGAGGTAAGCTAAAACATATCAAAAATTAATTTCAAAGTAAACTATCCCTTTAAGGCCTGTTTACGTGTGTTTTAGCCAGGTTTTCGCCTGGAAGGCTCTATAGAAATCTGGCACCTTATTGTACGAAGTCAAACTGAGAAGAGCGTGCATTCACAGACACCAGAATGAACGCGTTCACAGTAACGTTCATCAGGCAGTAATACAGTACGTTCAGTTCACGTTCGACCAAAATATGAACGAGTTCATGCACAACACTGAACAGGCCTAATGAAATTATACCTGAACATAACCCAAATATTTTTCTCATAATATACATTCCACATCACATCATTTCTCACGTAGTTGGAAATGGTTGTTTTGGAGATTCAGTCTCTCTAAACCTCTCCTCGCCGTCAGCCTACTCTTCTCTGATTGGTCAGACGCTTACAGCACATGTCGGAAACGAAAAACCTATTAACACATCTGAATTTCAGCTCTGTAGGTTTTCCTTAGCATCTGACAGACAGTGATATGAATGTTGGCTTCATTTTTTTCTGTATCAATGCCAGTGTAAGTCCTCATCCTTTTGAAGTGCATACAAAGTGGATTTGCAGCTCTGAAAACAGCTTCTTCTTGACACGTGGACAACACAAACCAAACTCTTCTAGGTCTCAGAAGCAACACTTTTTGAGGATGGGTCAAAGTAAATGTCGTTAGCAGGCAGCCAAAAATCTGGCATTATGCTAATTTGTTACAGCATAACTCGTTTCATGAGTTCAGAATCAATTTTTAGGAGACAATAACTTTTTTTTTTTTATCTTGCATTTTGATCTTTAAACCTTGGCAGACATTTTACATTCACAAACAGCTATATTACACATAACGTGAAAGGTTATATTCAAATAGGGACACTTTAAATGGTGTACCTTTCTGCTTCTCATTATTGCCCTGGTTTTAGGGTGGTCTGAAAGCCTAGTGCTAATACCCTACATAATCCAGAGCTAATGTGAATGTGAGGCCTCCAACCGTAAAGGACCGTAGGGCTAAAAAATGTATATTTATCATCATTTATCAAAGGTTATGAGTTTAATTCACATAGCTGGATACATCTGAATTGGAACTGTTTTTTATGTGCTTTAAGGTGCTTATATTTTCATTTCTTTTGTCAGGAACAGTGATTTCTCTCTACATTTATTCAAGAATTATTTGTGTATGTTCACAACTACAATACATTTAATTGACGTACGCATTCAATGCATCCTGAAAAATTTACACCAGTCCATATGTGAGTCAGACACCACACTGTTTCATCCATTTATACAGTAGTGATTAAACTCAAAGCTTCTAAACCCTTCAAACTATGTGTCTCGTTTAATGAGGAAAATCTGCTTAATTTGTCCTGAAGGATTGGACTTTATGTAACCCAAAACATCAACCCGTCTACTCGGCTCGACTTGGGATGTCTGGAGTGTAAATATTTATATTTGGAGCAGGAAGTTTCGAGGCCATTGTGACAGCCGTCCCCTCGTGGCAGTGTTGAGAAGGCATATGGTTCCAATATGAAATCACTCTTATCAAAGCATTCATAGACTGCCTGTGAGCGCTACATCTTGACCCATGTTGAGAGATACAAGTGGAACTGGAATATACTGCAGTGTTGTTATTGTTAAGTAAAACTAAAACTGTCAAAAATAGTTTTCATTAATTAAAAAATAAAACTGAAATAATATTAAATAAAATATAAGGTAGTTTGATTGTCTACTTTAGACATTCTACTACTATAAGTAATTTTGCACCAAGCCTACATGTCAACTATCAGTCATGATAGTATTAGTAGACTGTTTAATATCTGCTATAACTCTTTTTATGCTCCCCAACAGACATTCTACTAACTAAGTAACTTTGTCATGTCAAGTACATCAATTTAAAGGTGCAATGTGTAAAAATGTTGAGTATCTATTAACAGAAATGCAATATGACATCCATAACTATGTTTTCAGTGGTGTACAGTAACTTACTTAATAAACCGTAATGTTTATTAATTTTCTTCGTAGATTGAGGAATTTTAACATTTGATGAAAATGTTTTATTCTTGTTTTCTTGAGTCTGTTTTAACTTTTTTTTTATCTGTTGGTTTGGTTCCTTGTCTGCAAAGAACAAAAACCCACTAGAGAGCATTGTTAGAACATGTAGCAAGATTGCAGGTATTAACTTCCCTCCCCTCTCCCACATCTACTCCAACAGAGTAGCCAAGAAGGCTACAGTAGCTATTGCAGCTATTCTTTGTCCTGCCAGTTTAAGCTACTCCCCTCAGGTCGTAGGTACTCCATGCCCAGATGCAGGTTAAATAGATATAGAAACTCTTTTATCCCGACTTCGATCTCAATATTAAATAATAGGGCTGGGTAATAAATATCGATTTCTCGATATTAATCGATTCTCATTTTTACGAACCGATATCGATTCTTAAATCTCAAGAATCGATTAGTCATCCTATTTCATTTCAATGAATGGGACATTGTATCGCGGCTGCGCGCATCGAAAAAATCGCAGTAATCTTTGTCCTTTGTTACTATTGATATGAAACAAAATCTCAATTTTCAAATTACGTCCATTTTCTTTAGAAATTCAAAAACATAAATAGCGTTTTGGCGCTATGGCATGAGACACAAGTCTGTGGCATGAAACACACGTTTTTATGACAGCCACCATTTAAATGTTTATATTTCATATAATCTTCTTATTATAAAAATAAATAAAAGTGTCATTTAAGTGTTTGTATGGCTACAAAACAGTTCATTATTACCGTCATATTAGGCTAATGAAGCCTATTGGCTACAACTAGACTCCCATAGTTTACAGCATATAAGAGATTTGATTCCCTTGAGAAAAATTGCCATTTATTGTAACTGATATCCAAAATAATCGATATTGAATCGAATCGAATCGTAATCGAAATCGAATTGCAAGCTTGTGAATCGAAATCGAATCGAATTGTGAAATTTGTCTCAATACCCAGCCCTATTAAATAAATTACCAGAACTGTTTTAATTTAATTTAATTTAATTTATTTATTTTTCTATAATCTTTTTAGAGACTATGTGTGTTTTATACCTTGTAGTAATGTTGTGTGTTGTGCCTTGTGTTTTTCTGCTGGCTGTACAAATAATTGCCCTTCGGGGACAATTAAGTAACCTTGACCTTCTAAGGTAATACAATTACATTAAACATTAATCCCCTCTCAGACGATGATGTGTTTGTCCCGTTTGAGCCACCGTAGCTTCTTCGTAAGGGAGGA